CGAGCAGTCTCGACTAGAGTCTTCTTACTTGTTGTCTATTATAATTATAGCCAACAGTATCAAATTAAACTTTATTAATTGCGGAGCACACTTTTGGATTTACAGACATTGCAATGAACTAAATTTAGATGATTTAAATTAAAACAAGTAAGAAAGCTGTAGTCGAGACTGCTCGACTACGAGATCACCTGAACCCGTCGAGCAACTGATATTTAAAAAATTATTCGCATACGTACGCACGCATAAACACGTATGGGCTGCAGTGTTGGCTTGCTATGAGAAATTAATTGTTTACTAACTTTTCTTGTGAACATACGATCTTCATGAAACTTTTAGATTATGATTATAATATGAATATGCATGTATTTGCCAAAGCACAAGTCTCTAGTATTTGAAATACGCCTTTTACAAATGTGAGGATGAAGGGGTGAATTAGAGGTGGCGGATAATATTTGACAAAAACCGAAATTGTATTAAATCCATATAAGTATAAATTAAAAATTTGGAGAGTCTAGCTTTAAAGATGTAGGAGATACAAATGTATTACTTTACCACTTTTCAATAATGTTTTTAATCGATAGCAAAATAACGGGGCAAGTTATCGATATTTAAAGCAAAACTCGATGTGCGCGTGCTATACACGGACCTAGGAAAAAAATTTCAGGTCTATAGCTCTTATATCTTCTAAGATCGACGCGTTCAAACATACGGACAGACGGACAGAGCTAAATCGACTCAGCTCGTCGCCCTGATCAAAAATATATATACTTTATGGGGTCTGCCACGCATCCTTCTGCCTGTTACATACATTTAGCAAAACCATTATACCCTGATTTTCCATTGAAAATGGGTTCAGGGTATAAAAAGAAATCACTCAAAACTGTAGGCTGGTTTCTTTAACCGTTTATTTATAGAAACGCGAAGCTAAATTTAGAAAACACCACGGTTTTCCGATCATATTTTTAAATAAGCAAAATATAAATAAAAAATAATCAGATATAACCAAATGACACATAAACCTCCCCTAGTATTACTTTATGATTGACCAATGTATCCATTAAATGTCAAAAGTCAAAACATCCCCACAAAAATAATTTCGCTCTGTTTTAAGTAGGCTAACTCTTTTCCCAACAAAAATTTTTAATTTTAAATTATCATATGATATACATATGAACAAATTAATATCCAAGTAGAAAATTATCGATAAATAACAATTAATCTTAATTTGTTGTTATTTTAATCTACTAATCAATACTAATTAAATATAATAGGGAGTTCACGAAACTTTATATTAAATCAGGTAACTTTAACAAAACGAGATAACTAATGCTGGTCGCTTAACTCGATTCAATTTCAAATTTTTAAATTTCGTTCAATGTATTTTTAAAGTGATTTGGGCTTATTTGCCCCATTTTTTATTTTTCCATCATGTGGCTAAACCCATATGAAAGGTCGAAAAAAAATTTCAGCGGTCACAGCATCCAGAGGGCATCATCATCTTGCTATCAATTTAATAATTTTTTGAATTAATGCTTTGCGAATGAATCAAATGAAAGTGTTTATCTGGAGAACTATATTCTACACATTTATTATCAATCTTTTTTTTTTTTATCAAAATCTTGAAAATATATGTAAATAAGCATATCTATGAGATAAGATACATATATGTATATACATAACATAACATATGTACATATATGTAACATTACTTAAATTTCGTAAATACATTGTATTATATATAACATACCTCAGCCCACTTTTACTCATTAATTGCGTAAATATACGAGATGAGTTTTACCACTTAAATAGAAAATTTTCATATATCATGAATGAAATATGAAAGCAAAACTTTATTTTATAATTTGATTCGCCTGAATAACAAAAGCAACTAATAAACAGCGCATGCGCTCTCTTGCCTCATAGTGGCGGATAATATCTGAAGCTATATTTAATATATCGATAATTGATTTTTTATACAAAATCAAAATATATCTTTTTGAAATTTGGCAACTGCTAATAGTTGGTTTTTAGTAGATAAAGTAATTCTCTACTGTTTACCTACTATTGTAGACTGTTATTGCCAAAAATGATATTTGAGGATATAATTTTTTTTTTGGAAAATGTACGCGAACGCATGGTATTACTATCAGAAATTAATTAGATGGACTATCTTCATAAACCTTTTAAACCGTGATAATAACGTTAAAAACACTGTATTTGCTTAAGCAGAACATTTTTGCATATTTTAAAAGCAAAGACTGCGCGACTAGGAGATACCCTGAACCCTCCAAGCTGATATTCTATTCATTCTTCACACGCACGTATCATAACGCTCTGTGCTGACTGCGTAGTTAGCAGCGATAGCACTTGGGCTGCACGGCAGTGTTCGAAATATTATGAGAATTTTTTAGTTGAATAATTTCTCTTGTAGTAGGACATTCTTTATGAAATTTTCAGAGCTTGATCATATGTTTAGAATGTGTGTTCATTCCAAAAGCAAAAGTCTCTAGTACTTAAAAATTGATGGCGAAGGGGCGTGGTATCCAAAATCTGTAAATACAAAATCTTTGAATCCATCAACTGTATATACACAGTGAAGTCTCCAGGTCTAAAAGTGTTCAAATTAGACCGAAGAAACAAAATCAATTTTTCGATTATTGTCGATAAAAAAGTTAACGAATGGGTTATCGAAAAAATATGATTAACTTTTACCACTGACCAGAGAACACATAGACCGGACAAGTAGTGTAAGTCGTTTTGCACACTTTTTTTGGGAGTTATCTCCCAGACCACTTCGTATTTGCTCGGCTCTTCACTTTTAGGTTCGGACTACGAAAATATACGAAAGCACAATCATTTCGCTTCATGCGCTTGACCGAGATGGTCAAATATTGAACAAAAGGAGCCACTATGCTCAATTTATTCTTGCTCTCTCTCTCTCTCGCTCTCTCTCTCTCTCTCTCTCGCTCTCTCTCTCTCTCTCGATGCTCTCTACTCTCTCAAATTTGTATATATATGTATGCATGTGAGCACAAGCAGCAGCTCACGAAAATTGAAATTTCTTCGCGTTAGAATCCCGTTTCTTCCCTTCTATGTAAAGAGTATATCGAATTTTTCAAACCGTTTGCCAAGTTCGTACAAAATATTTGCGTTTTCGTTATTATTTGTGGGAAGAGTATGAAAGCATTGGTGCGCATAATGAAAATGTTTTCGCGACGAGCATTCACACACACACTTTCCCTTGCTACATGTACTCTAAGCATTTGTATGCCTGTGTGTGAGGCTCTGGCTGCCTGTAGCAATTTTAAAGCGCAGCATTTGCATTTGGTCGATCTTCTGAAGTGCTCGCATACATATTTTTATTTTGGTTTTAATTGAAGAGGCGAGCTTATACATACATACATACATATGTATATAAATAGCTGACTAGCTAAAGTGACAAGTGCACTTCCCAATTCTCTGTGGCACTGTGGCCGGAGGGTAACTCATATACATATGTATATAAGTGTGGTATAGTGACTGCCGGGAAACTCGCGCTTACCTTTAAGCACCTGATTTCATTTCAATGATTGTGGGTTTGCCTATCAGAGTGCATTTTTATACCCTGAACCCATTGAAAATGGGAAATCAGGGTATAATGGTTTTGTTGAAATGTATGTAACAGGCAGAAGGAGGCGTGGCAGACCCCACAAAGTATATATATTCTTGATCAGGGCGACGAGCTGAGTCGATTTGGCCCTGTCCGTCTGTCTGTCTGTCCGTATGCTTGAACGCTTCATTTTTCCGAAGATATGAGAGCTAGAGACTTCAAATTTGTTGTAAAATGTTCGTAATTACTGCGCGGATATCGAGTTTATCATTAAAAATCGATTACTTCTCCCGATCTTTTTTTTATCGATAAAAAACCTTATCGAAAACCAGTTATAAAATTATATCTTCTACACCTTTNTACATATAAACTCAATAGGATCTTCCACGCCTTTTTCTGCCTATTAAATTCTTTTTAGCACAAAACCTTTTTTGAAAACCTTAAAATTCAATGTAGTTGTTGATTTTGTCAGAACTATATGTGATTCCACAATTTGGCATACTCATTGAAGCCAAGGGTTGTCGTTTATACCATTGAATCTCACAGGGGTACAATCATCTCCCAATATTATATCAAATAAACTCAACTGTATAAATTCAATGTATATTCCATTTGAATCAAATTCTGAAAGTTCTTCTTCTGCCCAAATGCAAGAATAAAACAAGTGAAACAGGAATTGATGTCTAGCCACTTACAACAAATTTTGGAATAAAGTACCAATATGGATGTACCGCGTCCAGATCCAACGATTAATTTTCATAATGCTGATATGAGATTTTGAGGCTTTTCAAAATTATTTAAAAAAAAAAAAAAAAAAAAAAAAAAAAAAAAATGAAATAGAGGCCATCGTTGATAGTTTATTCGAGGAAGGGATAATTCTATGTCAAAAATTGGACGTTGCAACTGAAAAAGGCCGAAGATGAATATGAAGATGAATAAGAAATATGGATGGTGAGGTTTGAGTGCCATCGAAGAATTGAAAGGGTTCTTGAAAGAAGCCCTTGATCGAATATTCTAAGAAATGAACGGAAGATTCGTACGGCTGAATAAAATCGATGGCTTCCTTCTCAATGTCAAGACCTGATTTATCAGAAAGCAGAATACGACATAAAATAATTAAAAAAGCTGCACATGAAGAAAAATAAATCTTAAATTTAAGAATTACCTTTTGATAATCTTACGTAAATTTTTAGAAAACCATTAAGCCCTGATTTCCCCTTTTTCAATGAGATCCCGTCTTAATATTTCTTTATGATTTTGGAGAGAATGTATTCATTCATCTGCCTTTAACTCTATATATAATATTACGGAAAACTCTAATAACTTCCCGTCGGGTAATGAAAAAACAAGTTTATAGTTTAACATAATTCTCAATCGGTTAAATGAAATCTTAGTTTATGGTATAACATATCTTACATTACTATAATTTATTGTAAGAATTTTCATTCTTTTAAGAAGTTAAACAGTTTTGAAAAAAAAGATTTTTTCTCGGGATAATCATTAGTTAAAGTTTGAACAATTTCCATTAGAGTATCATTCATTTCGATTTGAGCCTGTAATTGCTGCTCAATTGAACTCTCTGATCTAACAATTTTTTGTTGTCCTTTTGTTTGATTTAATTTACGGAATGCCTTAGCACGATTTTGTTTGCGAATTATTTGCTCTAAATTAAAATGTTTTAAAAGAAGTGCATCTTCAATCTGAGCTCGGATAGATGCATCTTTATTTGAAACTTCTTTAAGATCGTTTTGATTTTTTCGTAGAATGTAGACCATTCGTTCAATATTATTTATGTTATCAGTAATGCGCTTTTCGGAAAGAAATGTTATTTCATTTTGAATGGCTTTTGATTTGTTGCGGACTTCATCAAGCTTTATTTGGGCTTGGGATGCGTTTTTATATTTCTTCTTTTTTGCATCAACGTGCTCTTTCACCGATGCATTTACGAAAATTTGTTCACGATGCATCACACAATGCTCTAAATCTTGCACCAATTTTTCCTGTGCGCGTTTTAATTGATTTAAGCGAATGGTCATTCTATGAATTTCAATTTTCATTGCCCCTATTTCACCGTTTAATGAACGCTCAGTTTTAGTCCAATCAATAGTTTCCTCAATCAATTTATGCTTTGTTTCCCAGGAAAGAGCTTCTCTATGTCTATCGAGTACAAGGTCCTTGCTTAGTTCAATTTCATTTAACAATTCATTTATATCTTTTTCCAACTTTAATGTACTCATTTCGGTATCCTGAAAATAAATTAAATGTAATATTTTAGGAACTGAAGCAGATCACCAAATTTACCTTCAGTTTTTGGCTTAGCTCAAATTGTTCGTGCTCATATTCGCTTTCTTCAATATCATGGTTCTTTCGTTTAGTGTATATTTTCTCATTCAATAGCTCCAATTTTGAGGTATACTTCTGAATATCTAGCCTTAGATCTCTTGTCTTATTTTCAGATATTTCTAATTCTTGGTCAACCTTCAGCGATTTCTGCTTTATGATCGATAATTCTGAAAATAAAAGTTCAATCAAATTCAAAGAAATTTCATTGATATTCAACGTTAACAAGAAAGCGTGCTCTTTTTGGGGCTGAAAAAAATTATAT